GTATAATACATCATTTTGAATATAATGTGAAATAATCTTATTGTTAGTTATGTGTTTTATATACATTAAAAATTAAAACTATATTATTTATTTTATCTACAGTTAGTTAAAAGTACTAAAAAAATAATAAAAGAAAATATATACACGTTCGCAAAATGATTAGGTCCCACCGAGATTTGAACTCGGATCGCTGGATTCAGAGTCCAGAGTGCTAACCATTACACCATGGGACCTCTTGAATAAGAGTGCAGTAGATAATGTACATAAATCATTGAAATTTTTCAATAAAAATTATTGTCAATATTATGTAATTTTAGAACATTAATTTGTTAAATTTAGAATTGGTAACAGGTGTTAGCAATTTAAATACTGACAGAATTATTACATGTATCTTCGATGAGAGATAAAAGTTTATTTCTTTCATGTATATTTGCACAAATTGAATAAATTTTAATGTTATACTGAGATTTTTCAGCATCAGTTTATAAAGTTATACTAACCAGCAATTATCAATGATCTTTGTTTTTCAGATTGTAAACAACAAGATTAAGAAATGATGGAATTAATTTGGCTAACAGATTTTGATAATTATGCAGTGGAATTTATATATTGAGAAATCACATCAAAAATTCCATGCTGTATATAATACAAATAAATATTACATATTATAATGGAGTACAAAATGAGCTCAACATTGTGCGAAATGTCATAGAGATTAAAATCTGCTAATGGGAAAATTGGATTTTGCTTAACAGATTCAAATTCTATTTAAAAGAGCAGAGATTCAAATTATGTTTACAATGAATACAAAGTCTCCATTGAAGCTAGCTCAGTACATATTCGAACTTACTTAACAGATGATCTAAATCTCTTTCTTTTTTAAAAGATGCTAAAATGGCAATAATTCTAGAATTAAATGAATAGGATAGTCGAGAACATAAAATATCCAATATCCATTTTTCTGTTTTATCATTGTAATAAGTAAGTATAACAATGAAATTTCTCACAGAATAACATATAATTGCATATCACTTATTCCATATAATAAATTTTAATACATATATGTAATATTTATATATCTTTCATCTATATCTCACAGAATTTTTTCAATAAGAATTTTTGCTAT